CTCACTTCTTGCCGGCCTATCAGGCGTGCGCGGTCGTCACCGGCTTTCTCATTCGGACAATGCGCGCTCGGCATTATGCTGTTGTGCTCTAAGGGGCGAGACAGTTCGCCTCACCCACCCTGATCAGCCAATCAGAGGCGAGACGGTACGTGTGGCGATGAGAGGCAGAGACGCACTCCCGCCTGACAGTCGAGCCAATCAGACGCCGATGCTTCACCCGATCGTCCTTACATTGCACACTGTCTCAACACGCGTCTAGCGCCTATATATAACCGCAATCTTATGAAGGCGGAGCCCCATAATACACGCGCGCAAATTCTGCCCCAGTGCACGCACGCACGCCAGTCAGAGACGAAATTTCGAGTCCCACCGTCGCACTTGACCTCATCTCGAGTCCTCTCTCGCTTTACTCGCTAGACTCGATCGTGACGACGCCTCGGCGTCATGGCAACACATGCGAGGATGTTACTCTCGCGTTGGTGAATCGTTTCTGTGCGCTAGACTGCCGTCTCTGCCCCAGTTTGCGCCCCACCTTGACGACTGCCCTCCCTGCCCCGTTTCTGCTTGTCGCGGAGTTTCATGTGCTCCTCTTCAAATGCCGGAACTGCGAATGCTGCCTAACTGGAATTCCAATTCTGCCAACATGTTCCGAGACTCGGTCGACCCATTATTAAGTAAGAAAATGTATTATTTTTAAGTATTTGCCTCAATTCTGCCGTCAAATGTCTTCCTAATTCTCCTAACCTTCTGCACGGCTAGTGTAACCCAATTATTAAGCATTTTTTATTATACGAACACAAACGCGCGAATAATTTAATAATAGTTCTAATAACAATACAGTTTTTATGCATTATCTATGATTATGTAGTAATAATTTATTAGTAGTTGTAGCTTGCATGCGTAAATGTGATGGGAGGGATGCTAGACAAGCAATATAGACTTTGCAATAATAAAGTTTTACTGTGAAGTTTGATGAATTAATATTGTTGCATTAAGTAATATTATATAACACTTTGTAGAAGAATCATGTAGTATTATCTACTATCACTTAATTGCAATATATATGCAGTTTTATGCATTAATCAGAATTATGTAATATTAATGGAGTACTGCGTAATAGTTAGGGATCAGTATTTGCAATTTGGTTTTTGGTGTTGATAAACCCACGGATGTGTTTCGATGAATCCCTTAACAACATTTAGGTCTTGTTTTACCCTTCATCATGTTTTTAAAGGCGATGAGAGATAGATGAATTCATTCTTAGGGAAACTTTACCAATGAGGCATTTCAAGGTTGACTTGGTTGCAAACAGGAGATGTGCCATTCCTT